GAGCCCGGGCCGTCTGGGGCTGCCTGCGGCCGGGGGGGTGGATCCGAGGGGGAGAGGGGCCGAGCGTGGGTCTGGGGTCGCTCCGGTGGGGCGTGGGAGTCCCTGGCGGGGCGTGGGGCCGTGTGAGGGGTCCCCATGGGGAGGTGGGTTCTCTGTGGGGCTCCTGGTGGGGTCTGGAGCCACGCAAGGGGTCCCCCGTGGGGATGGGGGCTCTTTATGGGGTGCCTAGCAGGGTGTGGGGTCCCTGGTGGAGCATGGGGCCACGCAAGGGGTCCCCCGTAGGGATGGGGGCTCTCTGTGGGGCTGTGTGGGGTCCCTGGTGGGGTGTAGGGCCATGCGAGGGGTCCCCCGTGGGGAAGGGGGCTCTCTATGGGGTGCCTAGCAGGGTGTGGGGTCCCTGGCAGGGCGTGGGGCTGTGTGAGGGGTCCCCATGGGGAGGTGGGTTCTCTGTGGGGCTCCTGGTGGGGTCTGGAGCCACGTGAGGGGTCCCCCGTGCGGATGGGGGCTCCTGTGGGGCTCCTGGTGGGGTGTGAGGCTGTGGGGGGGCCCTGGCAGGGTGTGGGGCCGTGCAGGGGGTCCCCCGTGGGGCAGGGGGCTCTCTGTGGGGTGGTGCACGAGGACCCCGGGAGGCACGGGGCTGGGCAGGGGGCTTGGGGCCGCCATCGCCCTGTCGAGACCCGCACGCTTCCCCGCTGCTCTTGCGTTCCAGAACAAGATCGTGGACCGGTGCGAGCGGCTCCAGCTGCAGAGCGCTGCCATCGCCCGGCACGTGGACGAGGTGCTGCCTGCCAAGGACCAGGCCGTCCTGGTGAGTCCCTGCCCCTTCTCCCGGCGCGGTGGAGCCTGTTGGCCCCGCGTGCTCCTGCGCTCGCCGCTCCTGGCGGAGATGCTGAGCCCCTGGGGCGCTCGTCGGTCGGGGTGCAGGGGTTGTCCCCCTCCTACCTCACAGCTTGTGCAGGTGCCAGGGTGTACCTGCGATTCCTGCTTCATTTGCCTAAAAAATGAATGATCTCTTCTCCCCAGTAACAAGCGATAGGACAAGAGGGAACGGCCTCAAGCTGCGCCAGGGCAGGTTTGGGTTGGATATTAGGAAAAACTTCTTCCCCCAAAGGGCTGTCAGGCCCTGGCCCAGGCTGCCCAGGGCAGGGGCTGAGTCCCCACCCCTGGGGGTATTTAAAAGCTGGGGAGATGTGGTGCTGAGGGACATGGTTTAGTGGTGGCCTTGGCAGTGCTGGGTTAACGGCTGGACTCGATGATCTTAAGGGTCTTTTCCAACCTAAATGATTGTATGATTCTGTGATTCTAAAATGTACACAAACAATAAATTCCTTGGTATTAGTGTACAGCCGTCAAACATCCCACTGGTACCAGTGTCTTACCGATTCCTGATTTTATTTGTGCCTCACTGTCACTGAGGACCAAAGACAGATTCTCTGTTTCTTGCTAACAGCGAATCCAGGAAGATCTGCTGAGGGATGAGACTCTGGTCCCTTGCAGGTTGTCACTTGGGTACCAGGGTTAGGCTAGGAGGCAGTGGGCAGGTTTGGGACTGGTTGTCCCGTTTACCTCTGCTTGCATCGTGATGAGTGCTGCGGCTTGGGCTCAGTTAACAGAGTAATCTTAACAGCTGAGCCCACAGAAAGCTGGCAGAAGCGGTTGGTGCTCTTGTTGGGGTTGAAGCAAGACTGATGTTTCTCTTCTCCTTGCTCTGGCAGAACGCAGCCACCGCGGCGCGGGAGCTGGTAATCCAGAGGCTGATCTTCGTGGGGAACGCGTGTGAAAATGAAGAACAGCGGCTGCTGGAGAAGGTGCACGCGGAGGAGGAGCGGGCGCACCAGAGCATCCTGACCCAGCAGGTGCACTGGACGGAGGCTTTGCAGAAGCTGGCTGCCCTCCGAACCTACCTGGTGGACATGATCACCAACCTGGACGACCAGGGCCTGGTGGTGAGTACTGCTCCTTCTACCGAGGCCCAGAAGTGACCTAGATTTTTTTTATCATGGGTATTGTGGGACTTAAATACAGTGCTCAGCAGCTTGCTGCACTGACAGCAAGGAGGCAGAGTTGGACAGGACCTACGTTTGCAGGTCTAGCTCAGGGAACCTCCTTCACCTGGTCCCGAGAAGCCCCCGTGGTTTCTTGGTGGTTCCTAGAGCATCTGCTCTGCCCGCTTCTTCTTTTGCTTGCGGTGAGGTTCAGAACCACCCAGGCTCAGGTCTCCAAGCTCTTGGCTTGAAGCTGCCGGCTCTCAGATGGCCTTAGGCTTGACAGCCAGGATGGCTATGGTTTGAGAGCTGCTCTTACAGCAGCCAGCTGGGCCACCAGTTTTCTAGTGTTCTGTCTAGTTTTAATCAAAACATGACCCTTGGGAGCACCTGCAGCTCTTCTTGAAGGTCTGCCCTGCTGTCTGGCATACCTCTGTTTGGGACATTTACCGTGCAAAGCAGCCCGTGCTTCCCTTCGCTCAGTTCCTTTTCTGGCTATTAAATTGTCTTGGTTTACCCAAGCGATGCCTCTCGTCGTAGACGCGAGCGGGTAGGCGTTGCACCTCCTCTTCCTTGCTCTTGGCCTCTGCTTGCCACATGTAACTTTGTGAAGAGGGAGGCAGCAGGTCTGCTTGGAAAACAGAACCGATCCCACGGACAGAAGGTAGATGGCTGTTCCTTTGGTGGGAAACGCAGCTTCTGTCCTGCCCCAGCATCTCAGCTGGCTGGGCTGTGGCCTCACTGTAGGAGTAGAGGTTGGAAAGCACGATCCATCAGATGCCTGTGGCAGAAAACAGTGAGACCCTCAATTTCTCCTTTTGCCACGTGGTGGAGGGGAAACAGGGATCGTACATTCTCCACCTTGGATCGTTGGTGTTGGCGTTTGTGTCTATCAGGAATCGATACGTGTCCTGTCACAGGAAAGTGAAAGGCACATGGAGCACCCTGCAGCTCATATTTGAGCAGGGATCGAATATTTTCCTACCACTTTGCTAACTGGGCTGTACCTTGGGAACGCACCATTGCCAGCGGGCACAGAAACAAGCGGGACTGATCACGAGGTTAATCTGACTCTTGGGTCCTCCGCAGCTTCACCCCTCACTGAAGGCTGTGGGGGTTGTTTGCTGCAAGCCCAGGATGTTCTTGCAGCGTGCCCTAATGGGCTGGGGGAGGAGAGGGGACCCCAGGGCCCGGCTTTTCACACTCTGGGCAAGGCAGGGTGCAGCGGTAAGAGCTCCCAGATGCAGACAGGCTGGTGTCTGCCAGAGGGTAGGAAGTCAGAGCTGGTTCTTTGTGGGTCTGAGACTTGCCGTCTGCCTCAGCTCTCCCACGTGTTTCCCTCGCACCGGACGATCCAGCTGTACTTGCGGTCTTCTGCTCGCACACCGTTTGCACGTGCAGCAGAGTGGTGGCAGACTCTGGATGCTCCCATGCCCTTCTGGAGTTATTTGTCACCCAGCCACCCAGTCCCACTGGTGCAGCAGACATCACCCCTAGCTAGATGTAGAAGCTAGATGTACTGCCCTCAGCCATTCCCACTCATTTTCTGAGTCAGGGAGTGGAAAGTGCTGCAGCTGAAGAAAATAGATGTTGGACACTCGCCCTGCTCCCCAGGGCCAGCGTTGGGGTGAGGAGTAGTTTCTCTGGGTCAGGAAGGAGAACAGTGCTCCCTGGGTCCCGGGTTTGCTGTGCCCCAGCCTGTGTTTGGGATTTTATCTGTGGGGATTTCAGCTGTGCTGACTCTTTCTCTCCTTGTCCCCAGCGTGCAGAACAGGAGATCTTCGAGAGGTTAGTACCTGGCTGCTCCTGGTCCTTTCCCTGACCCCTGCTCCAAGCTTGCCTGCACCCTCCGTGGCTCCCGCTGTGAGCGGCACGCCATTGCTCAGGCAGCCGGTGACACCCCCGCTTTCCTCCTTCACCCTGCTTTTGTTGAGGACAAGGACAGAGCACAGAGATGCCAGTGCGGCCTCTTGGCTCTGCTTCACGTGCTGCCCTGCAGCTCAAGACGGAGAAGTCTTGGCACCTACAGATGCTCCACATGCAGTGTCTCCCCAGAGGCGCTGCCAGATGCACGGGCCCTGGCTTACAGGAGACCTTCCCCAGCTCCTTGGTAAACTCCACAGGGCTCCCTGGGAGATGGCGCAAGCCTGTCCCTGGCCTGGTGGCAGGAGGTGGGATTGTCCAGCTGGAAAGCTGGTGTGCTCCGTGCCCGGGGTGCTGCTGGCACAGAGCCTGCATGGAGGGGAGAACCAAGTGCAGGTGTCAGCATTTCTGGAGTCATCGTCAGTAACGTTGGGCTGCTCTTCCTTGAGAAGGCAGCTTGGTGGCTGCATTTTTACAGGCATTTATTTCTGGGGCTGCTGCAAGGGTGCTAGCTAGCACTGCTTGGACTCTGCTGCCCAGAGGACTTTCAGGAGTATTTTTGCCTGTAGAGAGTAAGAAATCGGCCACAGCACATCACCAGCAGCCAGTGCCAGAGCCTTAACTTACAACCCTGAGTTCATGTGTGTACTGCAGGCCACAGGAGCCCAGCAAATCCTCAGTCTCCTTGCTATGCCGTATGAAACCCGGAGTCCCGGCTTGTTCTCCTGTTGTACCCCCTTTGCTTCAGCAGTGAGGCTTTGTGGATAAAGAAGGAAATCTGATTCTCTCACTGCAGCCCATTCATTGTGCTCCTCTTGTACCTTGATGGCTGCTCTCAGGCGTGTTTAATCTGTGTCTGCTGAGTGAGGAGGCTGTTGACTCAGGCTGCTGGGATTGTATTTCGAAACACTGAGGCCCTTTCAGAAGGGACTGTAATCGAAGCCAACTGAAAGTATCACTTGGGAGGAGAGTTTGTCCAGAAACCCCCACCGCAGTTTCTCTGCAGCAAGTGCTCCTCTTGCAACTGCTCCAGCTCATATTTCTGTCATACTTCCTAGTGATCTTAAACGCCTCCCAGCACTGGTCAATAAATAATTGTATTTTGAAATAACTTGTGTGTTCTTTTGCTAGGACAGAGGTGGCGGAAGGAATCTTAGAGCCACAGGAGTCCCTGAAGTTAAACTTTAATCAGACCTGCGTTCAGAGTCCACTGCTCCATCGACTCTGGGCCTCTGCTGTTCTCTGCTGCATCGCAGGTCAGTGACTCGCTCAGGTCTCGCCCTCTCTGGGGATTCCTGCTCATTCACGTTGTGTCCAAAGCAACATCCTGATGCTGTGTCCTGCCCAGGACCTGGGGCATCTTGCCCCCTCCGCTGTCCCAGCCCCCACGGGTTCCTTGGACCCCGCAGCCGGGGGGCAGCAGCAGCTGTAGGAGGTTTGGGAGGGGGGACAGTGGCTCGAAGCAGCCGGTTGTGGCTCAGAGGAGAACAGGGGTTTGAAAAGGCTGCGTCTTCTATCAGCTCTGTCGATTAACCTCACTTGGTTTCTTTTGCTGTTGCCTGGGTCAGTAGGTGACAGCAGTGAAGCTGACGCTGCCGTAGGAATCTCTGTCACAGAAATTCCTCTTTACCGTGTTTAGCATTGGCCTGCTGGTGGTTTTAAAAGAAGGTGAACTCACCCACGTGGCGTCTGTGAGACGCACTGACGTGCTGGAACGAGAAGTGAGTAAATGCAGTAGCTTTCTGATCATAAGCTGAGATTGGGGCTGTGCAGGAGCTTAGAGACATTCGTGATCTGGTTCAGCTCTTGCTGTACCACTGAGGTTGCATCGGAGGCGTTTGTCAGGCCAGCGACGTGCTCTGGGAGTGGTTGTACCAGGTTGGTGTCAGCTCTCTTGAGCGGGGAGAGGCTGTTCTTCCGGCTGTGATCTGCTTGAATTGCTGATTGTGAAATGTTTGCTTTTACTTTTGCTTCCAGGGTATCGTTAGAGTGTTTCAAATGTATTTTTTGTTCCTCAAAGGCGGCAATATCCTTCACAATTGGAAAACATTTGTCCCATGTGCCACCTCCTGAACAACCTCTGGGGTCGTCTTCCCAAAGCTTTTGCATTAACCTTTGATTTTTGCTCATCTTGCTCTTGACGCTGATGAGCAGTTCACAGTTTTTCCCTGGTTCCAGGTCCCTCTCCAAGGTGTGCGCTTCTGGCTTTTATTGCTCTTGTGTTTTCCAGTATTAGCTTGAGAATCTGTGCGTACCGGACAACACTATCATTTGTTTCTTCTACTGCAGTCTCTGGTGTTGCTCATCCTTTGTGATTCATCTCCCTCTGTTTTGAGTCTTTTGAGTGCTGGCAGTCATGCAGACTCCTGCAGCTGTACGTTGGCGAAGTCGAGCAGGTTCTCAGCAAATGTTCAGAGCTATTAAGTCACGCAGGAAACCTTTCCCTAATTCTCTTTGTTGTGACATGGGTTTTTTTATGGATTGCTTTCCCAGTAGCATCCTTGTCTAGTGCAATGGCTCTAAGGCATTCTATCCTAGTAGTGGGTCTGTTGGTGCTATTATTACACTCTGCTTTGGGTTTTTGGTTTTTTGTTGTGGTTACATTTAACGTGTCATTATTGCACGCTGAGGATGACTGCCATATCCTTGCTTATCTCGCTAGTCCATAGTCCAGCCAGGACCTAGCCTTAGAGATTTAATATTAACTGCAGTGGTCCTAGCTTTCATTAAGATGCAGTAATGTTATTTTGCACTTGGTGGTCCCTCCTCCCAAAGGCAATCGAACAGGTGGCACTCTTGTTTATTTGCTTGAAAAGAGTAAATTCCTGGCCTTGGTGGTTTGCCCCTGACGCCTCTCAGAAACTTGGAAACCAGCAGGCAAAAGAACCTCCATTTCACTCTCAAAAATAAACACGATTCCTTTGATGTCTGTACTTGGCATCTACCCTTCTGTTTCGCTTACGTTTGGGGTTGGCAGCTTCTTCCTTAAACCGAGAGATGGTGTAAATCTCCTGGCACCGTTCTGGGAGGGATCTCGGTTCCTGGCCACCCGCACCAACGCTGCTGGGGGCAGGTGAGCGGTGATGCTGGCTGGAGACCTGAGGGAGGACCCTCTGCTGAGGTGACACAGACTGAAGCCATCCCGGCTGGCTGAGGCCTTGGGCTGCGCATGGTGACCTTCTGCCACGGGGACCCGGCTGGGTCTGGATTCCACCTTGGTGCCTAAGTCTAGCGACGAGGATTGTCATTTCAAATGTGTGAGTTTGGAAATGGGAACTTGGATTTTTAAAAGTAGTAAAATGTGCTCCAGCTAACACACATGTACTTGGCAGAGATGTTAACCGTGTTAGCTTACCTGCTCAGCATCCCTCGTCTCTCTGAAGTGGCAAGGCCACTCAGGTGGGTACTGTACACAGAGAAAATAGATTTTGGGGTGAGATGAGTTCCCGGTGGAATTGTTCATCAGAATATGTGGGAATATCCGGAGGGCAGATTTAATCATGACAAAACACTTGTCTGTGTGGGAAAATTTGCTGATCTGAATTACTCTGCTGTTACTCTGCCAGCGCTTCCCCTTCCTCAGATGCTCCCCTGGAATCACAATTCCACAACGAAGCTGTGTGGGTGTCAGCAGGATGATATTTCCTCGTGCAGATGACCCCTGTACCTGAACACCAGAATGCAACCCCGTACCTGGGTTAGATGTGTGTTGCACGATAGGAGGTTTAGTGCCCTTCTTCTGTCAGGGGAAGAAAAAGTCTCGTACTGCTCCGTTTTCTATGAATTCATAGCAGCGTTTGGCTTCCTGGAAAGTCAACCTATGAATAGGCAGCGTGGGCAAATATAGCTGCGGAGACCTATGGAGGGCACGGTGTGGCAGGCAGGCACGCTGCAAAGCGTTTGGCTGCTGCTCAGTGAAATAAATCATCAAACGAATGAGGTTGTCTGCTTCAGCTGCAAGGGGATGCTCTCTTCAGCTCTGCTTTCTGCTCGCTGTTGCCTGCAATAGCTTCCACCTAACGTGCAAGCGTGCGTGGCACTGCCACATTGTGCAAACTGATAATTCAGCCTCGGTTCGTCTCCTGCCAGGGAGCACCAGGGCAGATGCAGCCCCAGGAAAGCCCCTGACCAGCATTGCTGCTGTTGGGTGCCGCTCTCTGGTCGGAGGGATGCTGACCTGGGTCCCTGTAGGTGCTGGAGCAGGTCAGGCTCTGGGACGACACCGTTGAGGGTGCAGCATAATGGTTTGATTCTTTAAGGGCCTCATCCTGCCACGTGCTGGATACCGAGCAGACGGTGTGGTTGGGAAACGGCCGGAGCAGGCGTGATACAGTAGAGCTCTTGTTGGCTGCAGGGCTGGGAGAGCAAATGACTCACCTGCTCCAGCCTTGTTTCCATGGAGACTTAAGACCTAAAATGAATGAAGTGAGGGTGGGGGAAGGCAGGGCAAGGAGGGGCACCCACAGGTAGAAACGGTCTCCCTGGGCGCAGGTGAGTCAGCTGGGCATCAGCCTCGTCTCTTTGCTTCGCGAATTTACAGAGCGAGGGAAACGCTCGTGCAGTTATTCAGTGCTCACACCCGTCTGCAGACCCGCTGAGGGGTCTCGCACGCAGCCAGGGCAGGGCGAGCGGTGCTGGGTGCTGTCAGCCCGCGGGGCCGAAGCGGAGCAGAACCCCCAGCGGGTGCAGGCGCCCTGCGGCCAGCCCGGTTCTCGCCCTGGGCTGCAGCTCACTGGGTTTGTGCTGTGGCACGAGGCAGCTGGGCAGCCCCTTAGTTCACAGCAAAACCAAATGGAGTCATGGCTGTGCTCATCTCTAACACCTGGTGCAACCTCCAGGTTGGCACAGCTGCTCCAAACGCGCTCAGGGTGGGTTGATTAATGACTTGGGCTTTATAGGAGGAAAGGGATTTCCCCTACCCAGCCCTCTCTGTTCCTTCTCCTTCCCGTATTACCGGCTTTGCAGGTTTTCTGCAAACAGCTCTGCCCTCCTTGTGAAGGCTCTTGACTTTGGGGGAGGAGAAGTTGGGTGCTACTCACCCGCAGTGGGGGTGGGAAGGGAAGGGGCTGAGATTTGGCGTTCTCCCAAAGGCGGAATGAACCGAACCTGCTGAGTTCTGTTTTGTGGGGATTCGGGCCAGGGTCAGAGGAAGATGAGCAGCATCTTCTCTGACTCTGCAGGACTTCTAGTGCAAGGGTGGAGAAGTGTCTGGTGAAATCTGGGCCTTGATGACTCTCTGCGTCGTTCTGGCCCTGGCTTGAGAGGGGGGGCTGTGGGGAGCTGCTGTGATGGCACCCAGCCTGAGACCGAGCCCCCAGCACCGTGTCACCCCGGGGGAGCGGACGGTGTCTCTGATGGCCCTGACTTCTTTGGCCGGTTCAGGCAGGGGCCACCGAGCCAGCGCTCACTGTGTGGCTTCTCTTGCAGGCTCACAGGAGATTCACATCGATGAGAAAACTGTCAGCCCCCACCTCAGCCTGTCAGAAGACAGGAAAACCTTGACCTTCAGCTCCAAAAAAGCAAAGGTGGAGTTGGACTGCCCCGAGCGATTTGACCACTGGCCCAACGCCTTGGCCACTGTGGCTTTCCACTCGGGAGTCTGTGCGTGGAAGATCAGCGTGGAGAAGAGCTGCGCCTACAAGCTGGGGGTTTGCTACAGCTCTGTGCCGCGGAAGGGGTCCGGCAACGAAGTCCGCCTGGGCTTCAACGCCGCCTCCTGGGTCTTCTCACGCTATGACAAGGAGTTCAGGTTCCTGCACGCCGGCCACCCGCGGGCGGTGGAGCTGATCAAGTCTCCGGCCGAGATCGGGGTGCTGGTGGACTTTGCGGGAGGGGAGGTGCTCTTTTACGACCCCGATTCCTGCGCCATCCTCTTCTCCCACAGGGAGACCTTCGCGGAGCCCCTCTATCCTGTCTTCGCTGTGGCGCACCAGAGCATCTCGCTTGTCCAGTGAGCGAAGCATTGCGCTCGCTGCGGGGGTGAATACACAGTTGTATATACAGGGACTGTATATACGCTATGCAGTGCCTTTATGGGGGAAAGGAGCCCAGAGAGGGCTACGGGCTTGTGCACAGTGGTGTTCAGACAAGACCTGCCTTCAGACTACATCTGTTCTTCACATTTTTTACAGCAGCTTTCCTCTCCTCCTGGAGGCTGCACCCGCTCTGTGTCTGCCATGCCAGGACGAGGGGTCAGGGTAATGCCTGGCTCTGCCAGCCGCTTTTAGGTGAATCATTTAATTCCTCTCCGACCCAGGGCAGCTTTCCAGCCTTCTAAGGGCTTTAGAAGACAGGAGAAATATTAAGAGATGTGTTTGGAGAAACGGCAGGGAGGAGGCACGTGGAAAGCGACATCGTTGGGACACAGCTGGAGACATGCTTTTGGGAGGAGCTGCCCTGTGCCAGAGCGGGGGGGTGTCAGCCCAGGGGACCCACGCCGGGGCAGGGGCACCCTTGAGGGGTTGTGGCCCACGGAGGAGCCCACATCAGAGCAGAGGAGTAAAAGCAAGGAGCAGCAGAAAGAAACCTAACCTGAGCTGCTCCTCGCCTCGCCAGCGTGGGGGGGTTCAGCGTAACGTGGCGAAAACATGGGGAGCTGACGTTAGGCAGGGAGGAAGGAGAGGTGTTGGACCGCAGTTGAGCGAGGGAGAAGGGCAGGAAAGGTGTTTCCCTAACTGTTTAAAATTTGTCATCTTTATTTCTCAATACCCAAATCAGTAAAGTTTGTTAATTGGCAATGTATTAAGTCAAATTGCCCAACTCCAGACTGTTTTGCGCACAGCAGGAAGCCTGCGACAGCCTCCTGGCCACCGCTGTCAGAAAGGGGGGTGCTGGCAAGGTGGCGAACCTGGGGCACACCGAGGCGTGCAGGGCCTGCACGCGGGCCCGCGGGGTGCTCTGCGCGAGCAGACCTGCCCTGGGACAGGACCAGCCCCGGCTCTGCTGATGTGCTTGCACAGGGATGCTCGAGCCTCTCCCCAGGGTGACTGAGAAGGGATAAACCTCAGTGTCTGCCTCCATCCCTCCTGCCAGAATGAGCCTGACCCAGTCCCCAGCTCCCGTAGGGGAAGACACCACCGCTGACCCTCTTCCGTAGTGTTTTTAGAGCTATGAAAGACATCAGCAGCGATGCTGAGCGTCAGATACATTTTATTGCATTAACACCCCTCCCGCTCCGCAGGCAGTGCTGGTCCCTCCGCTCAGAACTGCTTGCTTCTTTTCCCTGCCCAACCGGCAGCACGAAATCCCACGCCAGGACCGGTTTGCAGCTCAGCAGCAGTGCTGCTCCTTCTCTGAAACGCAGCTACCCCATCTCAATACGAGCCAGGAGGTGGCTGAGCGTGGGCAGGACGTGTTCGGGGGGCACCTCAGGCTCCTCGCCCTGCCCCGCAGCCCGGAGCAGAAAGCTGTGCATGCCCACAGCTCGGGCTGCCCTGTAATCCCGGGCGTAGTCGTCGCCGATGTGAGCTGCCTGCTCCGGGGGGACCCCGCCGAGGCGCAGAGCTTTCTCGAAGATCCTCCCGTCCGGCTTGGCGAAGCCCGCATCCTCGGAGGTGAGGACGAACTCGAAGTGGTGCCGCAGGTTGCACTGGGAGAGGACGTTTTCCAGCCGGTTATCGAAGTTGGAGACCACCCCCATGTGGAAGCCGTGCTGGTGGCACCGGCTCAGGGTCTCGCCGGCTCCCGGCAGCACCTCCCAGTTGCAAGCGCTGCAGAAGTCGCGGTAGAGCTTTTCCGCCATCAACGTTAGGATTCCTTCTTCGTGCACGCCGGAGAGCCTGAAGGTCTGCTTCACCACGTCGACCCACCACTGCTGGGAGCTCAGCCCCTGGCCCTGGCCGTAGTTGGGGAATTGCCGGTTCTGGGCTCCGTATGCCTCCCGGAAAGCCCGGCTGAGCGCCTCCGGCTGCACCCGGACCCCGTGAGCCCGGGCCTCGGCCGCGTAGCTCTCCCCCACCGGCCGCCGCAGCCGCAGCAGCGTGTCCTTCACGTCCCACGTCAGTAAGCGGAGCCTAAGCATGGCTTCGGTAAAGCTGGGGCCTAAGGGAAGCCTGGAACAAACAGGGTGGCGAGGCGGGTGCTCTGCTGAAGGCGTCGGTACCGAGTGCGGCCCACACCAGTTGTGCCAGGTGCGGGCACCGGCCCGGTGTCCAGGTCGCACCCGCTGGTGTCGGTGGCCCCCGCGGGGGGGCTCAGGCCCCCTCTGGGGTCTGCATCGAGCTACAGCGGGGCAGGGAAGGCCCTGCTCTGGGCCGCGGGGTGCGGAGGCTGCCGGGGCGGGGCACCCCTCCGTGGG